CTCTCTCTTACTATCCTCCGTTCTTCTTTCCTGGGGTAGATCGTACCAGCTGGAGGTCTCCGCTGGGCCCCTCTGCTTCTCCTCTATCAGAGGAGAATCTTCGTCCTCCGGCATATGCGCCTTGAGGACCTTGTCCTTGCGGTTGGTGAGTCTCCCTTGCGAGACGATCACAGAGGAGACTCGCTCGTCGCCATGCCACCGGAAGCCTTCTATTCTGGTAATTTTTAAAGAAGATTTTTAGAAAGCTTTTCAAGGAATTTTCCAAGTTATGTTGAAAAATTTGGTGTTTGCTTCAGGTGGAGAAGAGATGAAAAACATCATGGTAAAACTCAAAAGACAAGCTATCAGATAGATGCTGTAGGGACATTTTTCCTATACCAACACTTTTCTGGTTTATTTGATTTCAAACTGCATTAACCCTAGCCAGTGATCAGATTGTGAAACTGGCAGAAAGTGCCAGGATGGTGGAAAATACCAGGATAGAGAAAACAATTTAATCTGCCAAATGAATGCTTTCAAAGAGATCAAAAATAAATGTACCAATTGTAGTACATAAATGTTTAATATAATGGCAACTCTGGTAATGTGTTACAAAAAAATCCCTAGTCAGTAAATGAATTAGTGTTTTAAGCTCAGGAACAGTTAATAAGCCTTTCCTACTAACATTCCTATCTCTGGCCAACAACGAATAGTTGCTAGATGATTAATCAGAAAACTGACCAAAGGTCCACCAGCATACTGGCACACTTCCTCCCCCATCTTGGGACTACCTGCAATTTCTAGGGTTGTATACTTAGGTCTGCTTCAGCAGCTTATGAAATTGAATTAAAAATTGATAGCTGAATTACCGTAAATCTTTCAGATATAATTTTTTAGGTTTCTCAAGATTCAGCTTTGCACTTCAGTTTAATTTACATTGGAACATTTTATGTTGTCTGAACAAATTAGATGGTATTCTAATAGAGCAATTCTATACAATCTTATTCAGAATTGTTACTCTGTTTAGTGGAGCCTATTCCTCTGTTTAGTTACTCTGTTTAGTGGAGCAGTTAAGTTACGAGGAAGCAACATTAACAACCTAAGATATGCAGATGACACCATAATATTAGCAGAAGACATTCAGGAATTGGAACAGTTAATAAGGAAGGTCAAAAATGAAAGTGCAAAGACAGGTCTAATGCTGAACATAAAGAAAACAAAAATGACCACAAAAGAAATACACAAATTCAATCTAGGCAATGAGGAAATTGAAACTGTTAAAGAATTCTCATATCTAGGATCAAACACTGACCAGAATGGAGACTGCAGTCAAGAAATAAGAGTAGGAATGCGAAGGGGCAGCTATGAAAGAACTGGAAAAGATACTGAAGAGCAA